GAACTGTTAAGTTACAGGTACTGAAACAGTTCAGAATAGTTCATCAAAGTGAATAGTTCAAATGAACTATTCGTTCACGAACTTAACATCTCTAAGTGCCAGTTGGTGTAACTCAAAAGAGATGCAATGACTGCGCTAGTATCGAACTATTTTATCTATGTTCTATTTATACTTCTATGATAAATGATAAAGGTCGATTCACACTATACGGAACGTCAACGTCACGTCACAGACCGGCAACGTCACGTCAAAATATGTTGTCATCTATAAATACGACAGTGTTTACATTGACCGGCACCGTCACGTACCGTCAAAGGCACGGAACGTCAACGTTTATCGAAAACTTTAGTTTGACGTTCCGGTGCCTGTTCGTTCTTGTCCGTTAGAATAGTGTGAATGCATGAACGTTCCGTCCACGTCAAATATTTATTTATTTAGCGTTGTTTGATACAATACCTATTATAATATATTATTATAATATTTTATAGTATATATTATATTTTAATTCATAATATCTACTTGATATGGATGATGAACTTTTAATTGAAGAAGTTCGCCAATATGAAGAAATGTACAACATGGCGCACAAAAAATACAGCGATAATCAGCACAAAGATTTAATATGGGCAAAAATCGGAGAGAAATTAAAAATATCAGGTATATGTACATCTTAATTTGAATATCAATTGTATTTATTGTCATATCATTAAGTATTAATAAGTTAGAAGTCAAAACATATTATAAATTACAATTTATAAAATAAAAAGGTACTTTAAATGAAAATGTATATAAATGTATAAATATTTTTATATATTATATTATTATTTACATTATTTATATCATTATATTATTATTTAACAAGTTATCTGGAAGTTTTGGAATTGTCGATGACCGAGCGTGGTGTATATTATTACGAATCAAGGTTAAATCATAAGTTGTCAATGTTGGAATGTCATTTGATAAAGCTCCATGAATAAGTTTTGATGGTTTATCATAAAGTTCTTCTACAGCCTTTCACTTTAAATTATTACTTAACTGTTGTCTATTAAATACTTCAACAGAATCTTTAATATGATTATGATCATTTGCACGTTCGATAATCTCATTTTCATTATTTAATTTAATGTATGACTTACACGTCTTTTTACAGCAGCTCCAACGTTGAACATCATTTTTTAATGTTTTATGATACCGAAATTTGTATCCATCAATATTAAATAATGTTTTATTTTTTTCGCTTAAAATCACCGAAGTCATTTTATAGTGTTTTTAGAGTTTAAGTTTTATTTAACAGAGAATGAAGGTTACACAAACGTTTTCACCAACAACACGATCGAAATCGAACTAAAATTATTATAGGCTTTACAGTACGTTTATCGTTCATGCAATCGTTTAAACAAAACCGGACGCAATTCATGCAGTAGATTAGATAATGCCGGACGCAATTCGTGTACCCGCTTATCAAATTTTTTATTTTGGGACGCAATTCGTGTGTAGCCGTACCGACTATTAACACCGAGCCTTTTTAAATTTTCTAAAATTACTGTTGTCAAATTTTGTCCTGTTGTAGAATATACTGGTATAAATTGTAAAAAATCTTCTTTTAGTACATATGTAATATCATTTTTAGCATCTATACTTTGCTCCAAATACCGTACACATAATGATAACTGTTCAAAGCAAGATATATCAGTTGTCTCATCAACCAATACGGAAAAACACTTTGATTTGTTTATTTTTTCTACTATTTGTTCCTGTATAATTTTTCCGCAAATTTCAATAAAATTATTTTGTATTAGAGGACTTAAATAAAAAGCATTTAATTTATTATTTTCAAAGTGGTCAATTAAGTTTTTATTGCCACATGAAACACACATTCAAAATAAAGCACGAAAATTTCCATCATTTTGTTCTGGTTCGACATCTTTTGATGAAAGTGGTCCGGAATCATTAGTACCACGAAAAGCTATTTCTTGCCGGCCACATAAAATTATAGTTTCAATTATCGGTATTAATCTTTTTCGATTTAAACTTATTTGTGCAGCACGCGCTGAATCTAATTTTTGCGCAATATTTTGCTGATTTTTTGAATATATAGCTATAAAATTATCACCTCGTAAAACATTGGTTTTATGAAAATCTTTTTTAGAATGTTCACTAAATACTTCAATTGCATGTTTCCAATTATTAAAAATTTTGAATACTAAAGAGGAAAGTTTTTGATTATTGCCTTTGCCTCCGAATTCTTGACCAAATATTACACAGTATTTACATAGGGCACCACCATCATCAATTATAGAGTAAACAAGCCACGGAAAACGTTCAAACCAGTGAAATTGAAATTTTAGATTTTTTTTTGAAGTTGTGGATGTTGGAAATACATAATTTTTATCTGGCATCCAAGGAGAAGTTAAAAATTTTAATTTTAGTTCATCACACACATTTTTATTTAAACAGTAACTAATATCGTTGTTTTCAACCTCAATTGTTTCGTTAGTTTCGTTAGTTACTTGTGTTTGGACAGTGGGGACATCATCAGTCTAAAATAAATAAAGTAGAAGTTACTTTTTAATTTATCTATACTCTATATAGTATGATAAATAACACGTTCAATTATTAAAAAAAAAATAATAATAATAATACAATCAAACAACACCAGTAAAAATAATGAGGCATTAAAGTCAATCTACGTGTCGACCTCGGCATTGAACGTATTAATAATTATTAATACATAATATAATACATTATAACCATTTTATATAATAATAATTAAATTAAATAGTAAATTTTTAACATACCTTTTGTCTCTTTGTAAAATAATTTTGAATTTGGTTTCTTTTACTCATTTTATACACTTTACGTGAGCACGAACAGCAGTAAAATGAATGTTTTACAATACACACAATATTGTTATATTCTTGTTTTATAATCTTAAATAATTTGGATTTTCTGCGCCCGTATTTCATATATAAGTTTATATCACCTGTGAGTTGTGACAATCACATTGTATTGTAACTAGTACCATTAAATGCCATAAATGCCAGTACCTACCTAATCGTATCTATTGATCCTAATCTTTATTACGGCGTTGAAATAAAATAAAATTATAAATTTAATCTTATTTTAAATTACTGTTTTAACAAAAATATACAATTATTATTTAATACAATTTATAGTAATACTATATTTATACTAACTATAAATTGTATTAAATAATAATTGTATATTTTTGTCAAAACAGTAATTTAAANTCAAAGAAGAAATATTAGAACATGAACTTAACCAAAAAAAGCAGACGCTGTAAATTGTTTTAAATTCTATAAACATTTTTTCATAACTTTGTTAATGTTTTAATATGTATTATGTAAATTGTAAATTTCAACCTATTTTGTTTTTATAAGTAATAAAGTTATATAATAATAATAATATTAATAAATAACAATATAAATATTTTATTATACTGTTACACAAATATGGTTTATTTATTTATTTCAAATATTTCAAATCTTTTAATTGATGTTTGAAAATCTTAAATTTACTAGCCTAAATGTGTTTGAATTAAGTTATTTCGAACAACATTGCCAACTTGGTTTACTGGTGCAGCTGGTATTTCTTCCAAAAGATGGTTTTCATCTTGTTGATCATTTTGAGGCATTACATCATGTTGTTTAAGTAGGATATTATACAATACAGCTGTAGCAACAACAGTGGTTAATGCTGTTTTGGGTTGAGTGCGTATACCCATGGACAAAACTGGAAATCGTCGTTTTAAGACACCAAATACACGCTCAATAATATTCAATAATATTTCTGGTTCCAATTTGGGATTTCTAAGAGTACATTTCAAATGATTGTTATTAATTAATAGTTGATAACTAAATTAAATAAATACAAAAATAAAACTGTTAAATTAGCAATATTCAATAAATACCTGATATTTTAATTCAGCATTTGTAGTAGGATTCAGTAATGGTGTCATTAAATAATTCCTACATGGATAACCTCCATCACCGAGCAGAAAACAGCCTTCAAACTCATTATTTTCAAATCGTGCACGTAGTAAACTATTGTCAAAAATAGTACTATCATGAACTGAACCCAGCCATCTAAATATACATTAAATTATTAGTTAATAAAATAACCAAAAACAAAATGGTTGTACATCAAAATCTGTTAATAATATTTCTGATTTAATTAATTTAATACCTTGCCACTATATTTGTTATCTCCATTTTACTGTTACATACTGCTTGTACATTAAAAGAAAAATAACCTTTTCTATTTCTAAATTGTTCTCCTATGTCGCTCTTTAGAGACTGTATCCTTATGTGTGTGCAATCGATTGCTCCAATTACCCTGGGAAAATTATACATTTCATAGAACCCTATTTGCACTTCTTGCTTTTCTATCTGATTTTCAGGCATTTTAATAAATAGAGGACGAAGACTTGCTATACGTTTTGATACGCATTTTATTACTCTACATACTGTGGACTTGTGTACATTAATATGGTCACCTAGAACAAACTAAAACACAAATTAAAAATTAAAAGAATTTTTTATCTACTTCCTTTGTAAATAATGTTAAAGAACAGCTTACTTGAAATGCTCCAGTTGCATAATATCGTAGAGCAATTAATAGTTGTATTTTTGGGGTAATTGCCAAACTTCTATTGGTAGACCGTTTTAAATCATTGCCAAGGCCGTAACTGGAAATTAATTTCGGGGGGGGTTTTAATCCAAAAATGTGTGTTCTAATTGTATTATAATATTGTGTAGGTAATTAAATATGGTTAAAAATTCATAATATTGTAGAATTATAAATAGTATTTATTAATGAAATTCACATTAAAACATTTTTAGACTTAATATTAATTAGATTATTTAACTTAATTCTATACATTTAGTTTGAAAAATGGTTTATATTTTATATGACAAACTCTATATTTCTTTGTTTTTCATTTGAAAAACGATTGATTACTTCTTCTGGATCTACAACGATATTCCTATGTACACTGAGTAATGCTAGGCCAGTCAATCGGTCTTCTCCAGTTGCATTCCTTAGGTAATTTTTTATTCTTTTCAGCGTCGAAAAAGTTCTTTCCGGTGTCGCCGTAGTTACTGGTAAAGTTGCCAAAACTTTTAATAAAAATGAAATATTTGGGAAAAAATTTTTGTTACAATTTGAATATGCTTCAAGTATTTCAGGAGATCGTTCTAATATTGGTTTATCACACCATTTTCTTTTCCAAAGTCTTAACTCGTTCGAAAGTGCATCCAAATCTAAAAACTCTGAGTATAATTCGAAATCACTTGCTTCTAATTCGGAATTAGTACATTTATTGGGAAGTAAAAAGCACAGCGAAGATATTATTTTTTTATGGTTAGTGAAGCGTTCTTTTAATTGTCTTATAAAATCATCAAAAAATGGTATTGCAATAGCTATACGAAAATATGTTTTCGGACAATTAGTAACAATATTCACACGATTTTGTTGACGAGCTACTATTCTGGGAATTCTAATATTTTCTTCTCCGTCAATAGATTTTAAAAGAAGTTCAGATTTTTCAAAAATGTCATTAAACGTATGATCAATATTTTCACGTAAATGAGTTAATTCGTTTAGTATTGTCTCGATATGTTGTACAGCTTCTACTAAGTCACAACTAACTGATTGTAAACTTTTACACAGTGGAAGTGTCATTGAAAACAGAGTATTTGATGTAACCATACTTAATATAAATTCACTAGTAACTATTGCTCGATAAAATTGAATTGATTTTGATGACGTATTGATGTCTTGAACTAATTGTAATTCTTCCAAAGTTTCAACAATGGGTTGAAAAATTTCAACAAATCTTTGAATTCCGTTGTGGTTTTCAACCCAACGAGTGTCACACATTGATGTCAGTTTAGTCCACTTGGTATTAGGTAAAATGTTTTTTATTTTAGTTTTTAATATATTTGTCCGCATAGCCGAACTTTTAATGAAATTTCCAATAGATTTTATTGTACCAATACAATTTCTGACGTATTGAACATTGCACGAATGAGCTAGCGCTAAATTTAAAGAGTGCGCACTACAATGCACGTAAAGTGCTGCTGGATGACTTTCCCTTATAATAGTTTGGACGCCTTTAAGATTTCCACTCATGGACGCAGCGCCATCATAACCCTGACCGACCATATATTTATCGTTAATTCCAAGTGCTTGTAATGAATTTATTATTACAGAGGCTAGGTTTTGACCAGTAGTGCTGTGAACCGGTACAAATTGTAAAAAGTCTTCACGTAAAACATAATTAATAGTATTAGTTGTCTCTACTGAATCTATATATCTAATACAAAGAGTCAATTGTTCTATGCGTGATATGTCGGTAGTTTCGTCAACGAGAACCGAAAACGACTTCGCTGCATTAATTTTACAAACTAAATTATCTTGAATTATTTTCCCACAAATCTTAATAAAATTATTTTGTATACTAGGACTTATGTACATAGCGTTTAAAGACTGATTTTCAATATGATTAATTAATTGTTTGTCTCCGCATGAAATTCGCATACGCAACAGTGCTCTTAAATTACCATCATTATGATCAGGTTCAACAATATTTAAATCAAGAGGACCCGAATCATTTCGCCCTCGAAGTGCTAACTCTTGTCGGCCACATAAAATAATTGTTTTTATAATTGGAACGAGTTTTTTTCTATTTTCAGAAATTTGTAGAGCTCTTGCGGAATCGAGTTGTTGTCGAATATCTGGTTGAAGTTTGGTATACGTGTTAATAAAATTTTCACCAAATATTACACTATTTTTATGAAACTGTGTTGTGCTATGATGGGATAAAGTTTCAATAGCTTTTTTCCAATTATTAAATGGCTTATTAACTAAGATTCCTAATTGTTGATGATTTCCCTTTCCTCCGAAATCCCTGGCAAATAAAACACAAAACGTGCACATTGCTCCTTGTTCGCCTATTGTTGTGTAAGCAAGCCAAGAAAATCGTTTAAACCAATTAAACTGGAATTTTAAATTTCTTTTTCCAACTATGGGAAATTTATAAGTTTCATCGGGTGTCCATTTATTTACTAATAATTTATACTTCAATTCGTTACTTACAGTTTGATTCAAATATTTCCCAATATCATAAATATTAACGTTTGAGGTAGATGTTTCATTGTTCAACTCTGGACATAAACTTGATGTATGTGGTGTGTCTTCGACTTCATTTTCCAATAAATTTAATTTAGGCTTTTTTATAAAAAAATTATTCATCATAGTGTTTTGTCTTTTTGCCATTTCAAATAAATAAATTAAACACTTCGTAAATCGTAGCACAATAAAACGACAGAACGTAAACCAAATGTCAACTAAATATTGGAAATGAATATTGCCCGTGAAAAAGTTTTAACTATCATCAAAGACTATTAAGATAAGATTACTAAAATACTAAGAAATAGTTCTTTGTCGATTACACATTCTGGTGGTAATGTATTATACATATATATACCTATGCAGTATGTACCTATAATATTATCAAGAAATCCGGCTGATATACCCGAAGTGAATTTATCTGGTACAAATTGTTATTTTTAAGTTTATAACGTAGACCATAGCTGTCATTCGTATATGCACGTATCAATGTTTATCGATTATTCTAGACTGAAATAGTTATTTTATTACGACATAAAATAACGCGAACAATTTCGGGGGGGGTTTGAACCCCCAAAACCCCCCCCCCCCAGATACGGCCTTGATCATTGCCTATTGTATTAAGCAACATCATGAATGTGTTTTTATTTAGCCTAAAAATGAAGTTTTCAATAAGAAATGTTACTTTACAAATTGTAAATATTTTAAACATAATAAATAAGTTAAAATTATGAACCACTTAAAAGAATCAAAAGTACCTACCTAAATCTGTTTTGGAAATCATATTCATCATATTGTTCGAGTGGATTGAAACGGTCACGATATCTTCTTGGCCTCGGTAGATTTAAAACAACTTCCAAAACATATTCTTCATCAGAACTGTCAGAATTTGATGATGTTGAATACACTGACATTTTTCTTTAGTTATAATTTAATTTAATTTTATAAGATTGACGCGGATTCCGATGTGTGAAATGTGAATTAAGCGTGGTACCGTAGTTCACTTTGTCGATACACAATCGTAATATTGTTATCACAATAAGTTATCATATCAAACCAATAAAGTTAAAGGACTCTTTAACAAATTTATCGAACCAAAATCGGGCCTATAATTTATCGAACCGATAACACACTATTTATTGGATTGATAAAACGTATAGATCCTTTGTGCAACCGGCCAAAATGTTATTGATTCGATAACCTAGTTAATGGTTCGATAACTAGTTATTGGTCGTTTGTGCAACCGGGCATTAGTATATAAAATAAATTAATCATTTCTTTAAAATATTAAATGATACGTCTTATCTAGTATCATGATTTTAACGGGAAATTGTAAACTCGGCCCGAGGAAAAAACATTTTCAAAAGGTCGATGGTAAACTCGGCGCGGGTTTTTTTCAGGTAAAAATGATTTAGATGTAAAAACCATGATTTTTCTTATAATATTTTTGAGAAACATTTAGCATTACCCAGAGGACACTACGAGGAGGCGGTTCTCATTATCCTCCAAAAATTATTTTCATTTTCATATTATTATTTATAGTATGAAATTCGTTATTTAAATGAAAAATGTAATTAAAATGTTATAATATTGATAATAAAATAATAATAAATGTATTTGTATAAATGTATAAGTGTAAAAATGTGTAAAAATATAATAATAAAAAAAATAAGTAAAATTGTAGTGTAAATAATGAGTGAAAAATTTTAGTATAATAATATATAAATCTAGTTTTTTTTAAGTAAAAAGCCATATATTTTACATATTCACTCACTGATAAATCTTTATTTTTATATTTTGTAAGTGTTCTTTCTAAGAGTTCTTTTTTTTTTTTAGTTTTTATATTTTGGAATTTAAATGGTGCATCTAGGCTGTTGATTTTAATGTACGTTTCTGTTTTACTTCTTTTAATTTTGAAATGACCGAATATATATTGGGGTGAGTGGAATTAAAACTTGAATTAAAATGTGCATGAAATGATTCACATGCATTTGTTGTTAAATACGTTTCAACTGATGCACTGGCCCACATTTCAGGCGGAAACATAGATAATCTTCTCCTATGTATGTTTTCGGGCCGAATTTACAATCGATTTATTTTACTACCTGAAATTTCCGGGCCGAGTTAACAATCTACCTATTTTTATTACCTAAAATTCTCGGGCCGAGTTTACAACAAAAAAGGTAACTTCGGGCCCAGTTTACATTTGCCCATTTTAACCACAGTTATAGTATTTCAAGATAGGTTTCAACCATAGACATATAATAGAATAGACCAGGAATGAAGTGAAAAATGTGAAGCCAACATGTCTATATAAATCTGAGGTTTTATCAAAGAGATTATAACTTTAGTATCACTGATAGTCTATAGAGAAGACATAAATTCTGTGATACTATGTTCAATACGAATTTAATTTAATTGTTTAATACGTTATTTAAAAATTGTGAATTGTATACCTATTGGCTCTTACTCTAAGTTGAGTTTGCAAATGTTGCGCTATTCACTTATGTAAACTAAAGACTTTTACCATGGTACAAAAATGTTGCGTTTGCAAATCGCAACGATCAAGTGAGAACGATATCACATTACACAGGTATATATCCATTATCCTAATTATTTAGTAATTTCTATTTTGTTTACTCATAAAATGCATAACCATAGCTGTATACACCCTCATTTAGATGTTAGACATTTATATATTAATACAAACATATATAATATATTATTATTGTTTAAATTATGATATATTTTATTTATATATGTATTCTTCATGTAGTTTTCCAAAAGACAAAATAGTTCTTCACAAATGGATTTTGAACATTAATAAGAACTATATCTTTACACCAACTCTACATACATACAATTAATTTTATTTAAAAATCAATAATTATTAAATGTAGTAATATTAAAATGTATGAAATAATTTAACATCATTAAGTCTGTTAAAATTCACGCACCTATTGTTTTTTTATTACAATATACCTAAACTGAAAAGTAATCATATCCACTTATATTTCTGAGTTAATTATTCAAAGCCTAATATTTTCCTATGAATGTAAAGTGTGTATCTTGTGTTCAAATTCATTCATAAACCCTTGTGTTCAGTCAAAATTCCAACATTATTTTATATTATCTAAAATCAATAGTCAGTAAAATATTAAATAATAACTGAAAAGCCATAAAAACCATCATTTTGTATATTTTGTTTTAAATGTGGTGCGCTATGAAAAAAATGTATAGACATTTTTCTTCCATGAAAAAACCTCACATTTTCGGTCTCTCTCACATACATGTTGGCTTCAGTGTATTACACGTAAAACCCCTATCATTCTTGGTCTATTCTATTATATGTCTATGGTTTCAACCACGGTTGTAGATAAGATTTATCTATAAACCTTGAGTACTACAGACGTGATTTGAGTGATTCGTATTTCGAATGATTCGATTCAAAGATTCACGTTTGCAGTGTAGCCATTGAACCGATTCATTTCAAAACACTGAATCAATTCAATCGGTTCATCCAACTGAATCGATTCACTGAATCGATTCATTCATGAATAATTACCCATTCCCTAGTCGAGTCACTTCTTCGTATTACTCGTTGACGACTAGACGTCGTCCCGCGGACCGACCGTCATTTTCCGAGCACCGAGTGTTTTTTTCTTCCAGAGCAATATTTTCTTTTTTGTCTTCGGTACAGACTATCGACACGATAAAAAAAACCACCGCGTTCCCGGGTGCGAACCATTTGATGTACTTTATTTTGTCACCGTTTCGTGATTGTTCACTAGTGTAATAAAACACGTTTTTCGCACGTCCGTGCGACACCAGCAGCTTGTGTTCTTTTTTTGTTTAAAACCTTGGACGCTACCTCGCCCCGAGCGTCTTCCACCGGCAGGACCACCGTCCCACACCCGCGAGGTACGCATCAAAGATTTGGATGTAAATCCCCTAAAACCTATCAAAACATTGCTCTAGACAATTGCCAAAAATTTCTGATTCCTAATATTGATATTTCCTTCTGAACTGTAGTGAACAGTGAAGTGTTAGTTTATTAATTGTATTTTTTACTATACAAAAATGAGTTTAAATAAAAAAACAAGTAGTATTTGGTCACACTTTACTGTAATCGATGACACTCATTTTGCTAAGTGTGATATTTGTAAACGCAAATACTCATTTAAGACAAGTGTCACAAATTTAAAAATCCATCTTGCTAAGTCACACTGGATCCAAATGTCTGCTGTTCAGGTAAGTATTTTAATTATGAAAAAATAAATTAAATTAAATTGGGAATAAGATAAAACTAAAAGATTTTTCTTTCAGGCTTCAAACAATAAAAGAAAATCTGTTTAAAATTGTATATTTAACTGATATAAAATACTAATATTGTTAACTTGTTTTTTAATAAAGAGGTTACATAATATAAAATATTAAGACTATTTATTTAAAAAAAAAAAAATATATAGGTACCTAATGACTTAATATAAAAATCAATTAAAAAAATACAATTAACAATATTTAATATTGAAAATTATAAAAAAAAAATGTAAGTCTTTTTGTTTAAAATTTTTATATTTTACCTATGTCAAAAATTAATAGTAAAATATATATATATATAATTAACGGTACCTATTTAAATAAAATAAAATAATAAAATATATTTTTAGTTATTAACCAATTATTTACAATAAAAAAATGTATAGCCAGATGAAAACGACCAACTGATTGATGATCCACCATCAGCCCCAACTACCCAAAGTATGTTGCCTTCGACTTCTACATCGCTTTCCACAACCCAAACAGAAACTGTTTTAATTAATTCTGATCAACCACCAACAGCTAATACTGCTCATAACTTACCAATAGTACGGAAAAAAAGCAAGCTGCAATCACCACATTTGTGCCCAAAAAGATGACATTTGATGTTCAAAAAATTATTGACGAGGTTCTTCTAAAACTGTTTACCAAAGATTTTCAGCATTTTAAGGTAGTAGAAGATGAAGGTTTCAAAAATTTTGTTAAACTTTTAAATCCAGCTTATAAAATACCTGATCGTCACACGATATCCAAAGTTCACATCCCTGCGCTATACCAAAAAAGTTTAAATGAGACAAAAGAGCTCTTAACCAATGAATCGTTGAGTGGCTGTTTAACGACAGATTGTTGAACATCTCGAAACAATATAGCATTCATATCCATAACATAATTTTATTGACACACAATTTGTTTTAAGATCTGTATTGTTGGGATGCTATGAGTTTTCTGAAAGCCATTCATGTCTTAATTTATGTAACACGATTCAAGAAACTTTAGATAAATGGAACATAGATAAAAAAAAAATCTTAGCAGTCTCAGATAATGCTAATAATATCAAATCTGCTTTGAATTCATTAAAAGTTAAGAGTTTGGGGTGTTTCGCTCATACACTTAACTTAATTGTTCAAGATGCATTAAAGTTACAGTTGTGTTAAATTGACAAAATAAAATGTATTGTCACTCACTTCCGAAAAAGTAGTAGAGCTAACCACAAACTCAATATGTATCAAACAAGCAATGGATCTAAAGCACCCAAAAAATTGATGCAAGATATAAGTACACGGTGGAACTCTACTTACTATATGTTAGATCGTTTTGTTGAGTTGGAAGATGCTATTAGAGGTACTCTAGGGTTATTAGATAACTCTCCTCAAACACTCTCAGCAGATGAATGGAAAATTACCAAAGAGCTTATTCAAGTGCTATGTCCTTTTGAGGAAGCTACAAAGGCGGTAAGTGGTAGTAAGTATATGACCGCATCTATAATTTTAGTAATTTCTCAAGGTCTCAAAAATGTTTGTGAGCAGATGGCTAGGAAAAACTTTACTGTAGAGGTTATAAATGTTCTACAGCAGTTACTAAGTGGCATGAATCATAGAGATAGATGGGGAGTAATAGAAAGTAGTAAGACATTGGTTAGGTGTACATTCCTGGAACCTCGATTTAAATCAATAACATTATCAGATTCTATGCAACGGTCGGTGAAAAATGATGTTATTGAGTTAACTGCTGAAATTATTTCTAAAGATCGATCGTCTAATGCTCCACTTCAAGAAGACTCCAATTCCATACCTGAACCAGTTGATAGAGATGAAAATGTTGTGTCTATCTGGAAAACAATAGATACAAAAGTGGCACAACTTCAACCTACAGGTACAGTTACATCTAGAGCGATAATTGAGGTGCATCGATGTTTAGAGGACTCAATTATCAATAGAAATTGTGATCCTCTTAAGTGGTGGTTTGTTAATAAACATAATTATCCTTACCTCAATCAGTTGGCCAGAAAAATGTTATGTGCTCTTGGAACATCAGTGCCATGTGAAAGGGTGTTTTCCAAAGCTGGGCTACTGTTAAGTGATCGTCGCTGTAACTTGAGCAGCAAAAAAGCAGAAATGTTACTTTTCTTGAACCAAAATACATAAATTGTTTAGAATTGTATTCTTATTTTAAGATATAGTTATGTAAACACTATGTAATATACCTACCTAATTGTTAAATGTATTATTTTTTATTTAAACTAAATACTTACAGACTTATAAAATATATTTATTTTAATATAGAACAAGTAAATTTAATTGAAATATTTTAATAAGTTATTTTGAACAACTTAACTGTCATTAGTGAAGTATAACAATAACATTAACATATTTGTATTTCTTAATCAAGTCGTGTGTCAATTGTGAACTGTTCTATAATATCCACAAAGTACAGACCAGTAAACCACAGACCACAGTGGCACAGTACAACAGAAATCAGATTATCAGAATATAATAATGTAATTACCAATTTATAGTAAATTACTGATATAACATTATAACGCGTGTGGCTAAAATGCTTATAGTAGATAATAGATATTACTGATAATAGTATTAGCAGCTAAATAGCAATCTATATATGTTGCAGTTGTTACTCGCTAAAATACTATTACAAATAAATACTAAAATACTATAGGAAATAACAGCTATTACAATAATCTAAATAATAAATAGCAAATAGCAATATCAGTTAAGTAATAGCAATTTGGCAATAGCAGTAGTACTGTATAGAGCACGGCGCGATATCATAAATATCATCAGGGTAGGCAATAGGGAAAAATATCAACAAAACAAAATAGCAGTCACTGCTTTTATAATTTTTGATTAGCAGACTGCTATTGCTAATGTAAAATAGCAGTGCTATTTACACTGCTACTGCTATTTCTTACCATCACTAGAATATTGACTACCGTATTTTACACATATTTTAAATTTTAAACCTCTTATCATAAAATTGTTAAACAGCTGAAATGCGATTGCTTTCAAAATCTGAAATATTATAGAATAGGTATTTAGTTTCTAGGTGAACCTATTTGATCATAAAGTATGATAATATTTACACCAAGTATTATAAATTATAATATATAGATTATAATATAACAGTCACTACAATTTTTGTTTTCGGTTAGGTATATAAGAAAAAAACCAAATTACATCAAATGCCACATTAATTACATAATAATACATAGTAGGTACATTATAATCTATTGTACACAAAATTACAAATATTTAATTATTAAAAACAAAATGTCATACCTACTATAACTCACCAACTACACTCATAAGTATTATACGGCGTTGCAGATGTGTAGCTACAGTGAATATACAATTTACATCGATCTGTGATTTTTAATGTTTAAAAATTTACTTTCTTACAAAGTTACAAACATGTTTAAAGCAAATAATCAACGACATGATTTGTATGTTCAAAACTTGAGCCACAGCTAGGTAAGTGGTATATTTGTATAGAATATAATGAAACAAAATTAATGTCAGATGGCATCGAGTGGCAAGCGACAGGCACGAATTTATTACCTAGTGATAATAAACCTTTTATGCGAGTGTAATACTTTGCATTGGGAAATGTATATAAAAGTGTCTTCAAGCTAACTGGAAAACATCAATATAATGCTACTTTGATCAACTATGCAGAATCTTCAAACTTGCACATTACTGACCCCCCCGAAAAATGAAATTAAAAAATCACAGTTTGTGTCTAGAAAAAGATCCATAAAAAATATAGTGAAAAATCGTTTTAAGTTATTCAAAAAAACCGATAAATGAAGAAATGTCACAAATATTGATAGCTTACTCATGAATGTCGATAACAACGTGTGTGAACAATTTAATAGTGTAATTAATAAATATTTGGCGGGTAAACGTATAAATTATTCACAAAGAAATTCATACAATTGTCGAGCTGCAGTAATCTCCTACACAGGCGCGGATTTAAGGCACTGCGAACTATGCGGCCGCATAGGGCGGCAAAATTATGTTGAATATTTATTTTGATTTTGCAAAATTAGGTACATAATATTTAAAATTTTATCTATCACTTCAAAATCTTGAAATTGTGGATTTTGTATACGTTTATTTTTAGCAAAATAATATTTAATTTTGCCAGGAACTCGTCTACGACAACGATGATAGTATTTTATTATAGCTTATCTTATTGTTTATGAAATGTCTAGTAATTCTGTAATAAAAAAAAAAATAGATGTATACGAATATTGGAGTACACTTAGTATTTAAAAACGTTCGCTTTATAGAAACCGTTATCGGTACAAGGTTCACTGCGTATACATATATTTCATATTATTAAATCAGTGGTTAGTTAGACGAAGAGTGGTGTGTTGTCGTATTATTATAAATAATTTTACAATAATATTTGACAACCTTATTCCTTTATTTAACCGTTTGTTATGAATTAGCCGATAGTTGTCTTTCGCCGATAAGTATACGTCCGCGGTCCGCGTGATTTATTTAGTGACAACTGTGGTGTTAAAAATGTTTACACATATTTTATACGTACGCGTATTTTTAGTGACGATATTGGTGTTGGCAGTGGTGTTAATATGAACAGCAAAAAGTTAAGTGGTTGCCAGTATAAAAATAAATTAAAAGAAAAGGCTGAACAATTAACTAATGTTCTTAATCGGACCCAAAAGGTTGATGCATATTTTAAACTAATAAAAGAAAATGAGGAACAACAGGTATCTATTTCTAGTTTACCGCAACCAAACTTGACTAATGATTCGAATATTATTAATTCACCTAAAAAACAAATATTAGAAAATCAAAACCTAGAATCTGTACCTTTTACTTCTTCTGCCATTCATTGCCATTCTTTGCCTCCCCCAAGATGAAATAATTACATGTTTCGAATCATTATCAATTTCTTATTCTAACGATCCTTCAACGTGGATTATAAATGATGACCTCCAAGATTATTTTGCTGTTAACGGTTTTGAACAAAATAAAAACATTGATTTTTCTAAATCACTGCGTATGTATAATGATGGGGAAAAACGTTTATTAACGAAAAATATGTTTGAGAGAAAACATTTCAATGGACAAATCATCAATAGACCGTGGTTAATTTATTCTGAAATAACGGGAAAAGTATTTTGTGGACCTTGTAGATTATTCCAAGAAATTAACAATGATTCATATTTAGCATCTGAGGGTACAATGACTGGAGATCTGCATCTGTGCGATTAAAAGAGCACGAAAATTCCGCATGTCATAAAACTTGTGTTGTTAAACTTATGGATAGGGGTAATGTAACACAACGTATCAATTCAAAATTAATGGAACAAGTAAATCAAGAAAAAATATATTGGAGAAGTGTCTTAACTAGAATTGTAGAAATTGTTAAAAAATTAGCTTCACGTGGACTTCCATTTCGAGGACATGACGAAATAATAGGATCTGTAAATAACGGTAATTTTTTAATGATTGTAGAATTACTTTCTGAATTTGATCCCTTTTTATCTCAACATGTAACTCGATTTCAAAATTCTGGAAGTGGAAATACTTCGTATTTATCATCTACAATATATGAAGAAATTATTAAACTCATGTCTAACAAAGTAAAAAACGGTATTGTCGCTCAAATAAAAACATGCAAATACTACTCGATTATCGTAGACTCGACACCCGATATTTCTCACGTCGACCAGTTATCTTTTATTGTACGTTATGTAAATGAAAAAGGGAACGCCATGGAAAGATTTTTAGGGTTTATAGATAATGCAGGACATACATCTGAAAAACTTACAAACATTGTTATTGATACGTTGTATTGTCTTGAAATAAATTTGATTGACTGTCGAGGTTAGTCATACGATAATGCTAATAACATGTCAGGGTCATACAAAGGTTTACAGGCTAGAATAAGAGAACTGAATCCGTTAGCTTTTTACATTCCGTGTGCAGCGCACTCGTTAAATTTAGTGGGAACACACTCTGCCGAGGCTTCAAGTCAATCTGTCAAGTTTTTTTGTTTATTGCAACATGTTTATAATTTTTTTTCGGCGTCAACTCATAGATGGTCAATTTTAATGTCTCATTTAAAATCAAATCCTAAAGCGGTCAAAAGTCTTTCAGTTACGCGCTGGTCTTCGAGAAATGATGCTTGTGTCAGTTTAAATGAATCTTGGGATGAAATAATACAAGTTCTTAGTAAAATTGAATTGGATAAAACTGAAAGATCAGAAACAAAATGTGAAGATCGTGGACTTAGAATACAACTTGAGAGACTGGAAATTGCATTCATGGCTGTCTTGTGGGGTTTTTTACTTGAAAGGTTAAATGCTGTAAGTAAAAAATTACAGGATGTTAACATCAATATTCAATAGATACTTTGTACAGTACTCGAATTATATGATTCATTGATTCATTTAGTGAATTCACAGCGAGAGGCATTTGATGAATATGAAGAAAAAGCACTAAGCAAAGTAAAAAACAAAACATATCAATCTGAAAAATCTATAAAAAGAAAAAAACAATTCGTCATGACGAAACTCGAGATGGACAAGTAGAAATACCAGCGAAAGATAATTTTAGAATTAATACATTCTATGTTATACTAGATAGATTAGCTACTGAATTGAGTAATAGACGAAAAGCATATGAAACATTCTGCAAACCGTTTGATTTCTTAACTAAACTTCATAAATTTGAAAACTCTGAAATAATGGTTAAAGCAAATGAGCTATGTTGCATTTACAAATCAGACTTTCGTTTTCGGTGTTAAAAAGAATGAAAAATTATTTACAATCAACCATGTCCCAAGAAAGATTAAATTCTTTGGCCGTATTAACCATAGAAAGTGATTTAACGTCATCATTAGAGTATGAAGACATTATTGATGACTTCTCAAGAATTAAATCTAGAGAAAAAACTTATGTTAACTGCAAAAATTAATTATGAATTATACATTTAAGTATTAAAATTAAATAAAATGTATTAAATTAATTAAAATAATTAATTATTTTCATTATATTAATTAAATTATGTTTTTCTTATAAATGTTGTTACTTTAAAAAAAATAAACAGAAGATGTTATATTTTAATCAGAATTTTTTTTAGTTTACTTAAATGAAAAAATAATTGCATATTAGTTATTGAAAAAATTAATTAATTTGAGGATATATTATTAAATAATAAGTTTTTTTAGATAGGGGCGGCAAATTTAATTTGGCATAGGGGCGGAAAATTATTGAATCCGCCCCTGAACGTACAATTCAAGGACAATTTCTTCGTTTATTACACAAAAATATTGTAAATGATATAAGCCCAGGTAACTTTCAAGCATATGAGTTTTTGAGTCAAATAGTTAACTAAAAAATAATATACAATGTGTTCCAGCAGGAAGTGACCGATTGACCTCATATGAAAGTATACCAAAAATGACGAAAAAATATCAATTAAAGAGGTTCTTTTTGAATTTGTAAGCTTTGGACAATTAACTTTATTTAAACCTCTCACGCATTTGTTTATGTATTTTCAAAACTTTTCAATATTTGACGTATTTTTTTTTAAAGCTATACAAGTGTCCTGTCAACCATTATATGAAATTAAAATAGAAATGTGCAAATTATTATTATTAAATTGAAATAAGTAAACATTTAAAAATTAACCCGTAGTAAATACTAAATTATATTTGTAGTAATCCTTTTATAAATTCTAATTTGTGATGATAAATATTAAATTTCAAGTTAATACAAATAATTTTCAATCAATAGCTTTAAGATAAAAAAAAATACGTCAAATGTTGAAAAGTTTTGAAGATACATTAACAAATGCGTGATAGGTTAAAAGTTAATTGCCCATAACTTAAAAAATTAAAAAGTTAGACCCACTCTTTAAAGGGTATTTTTTCATCATGTTTGGTATACTTTCATATGAGGTTGTGGGAACACATTGTATTCAAAGAATTTTTACATCATTAAAATAAGTTATGATATAATTTTATATAGTTGTACCTATCATAAACTATATCCTCATAATAAATTGTATTTATATATAGATATTGTAGGTAAGAAATTCCAAACATTGACTGAAAAAAAAGGGTACAATTAAAATCTAGAACACTTCTTTTCCAAAACATAATAAGAAAAAAAGTCATGTTGGCCTAGATGAACGTTATGGTTTGGCCGAATCACTACGCGAGGAAGAAAATATGTCTAAAGAAACATTACAAAAATTAAAAGAAGATTTTATCAATTCCTTGCGATTAGATAGAAGTGGTCTCTCAAATATTGAAACACAAACTAGACAACAGGCTAACTCTTAAATCTGGCATTCTGAACGAAGAAATAGACTTACTACATCAAATTTTGGTCGTGTTTGTAAATTACGACCAACCACGTCTTGTAAAAAAACAGTTTACTATATATTATACCGAACATTTTTTTCAAAGGCAACTGACTATGGTAAAACCACCGAACCAGAAGCTATTGTTGCATTGGAAAATATTTTAAAATGCAATGTCAATCCATGTGGACTTATCATTATTCATTGATGAATATTTTCCTTACTTGGCAACAACTCCAAGTAATATATAATTCGAAAAATTCTGAGATATTTTATCAAAATCCAAAATAAACATCAAAATACTAATTAATACATTTTTTTGTATAATACACAGATGGTGTAATTAATGACGATTTCCATTATATTATTGTCCATTTGCAGTCAGAGATTCAATTACATTTTCGGAAGCGATAAGCAGTAAAAAAGTGAGTAACAATAATATTATAATATCCTATAATATAGGTATCAAATCTATAATTAATTGAATTATTAAAATATAACAATTTTAGTTTAAAGAAATGTAAAAGGTACAATAAGAGTACAATAAGAATATAAATATTTACAGATAGTTATCAGGTTAAATTATATGCATGAAGGGGAAATCACACATTTGTGACACCCCAGAATATTTTAAGTACTTAATCTTAAGTTTTCAGGTCACGGCACCACTTTCTTTTGAGGCGTCTAGCCGTATTTCCGGGGAGTGTAAGTGAGGCTAGTTCGTTTATTAGTTGATTAGGATTATCTCATAGTTTGGAGTGGAAGCGCTTGTAGAAGATAGAGGCAGTTTCATTGATGGATGGTAATTTGAGGTCGTAATTTAATGACTCATTTGAGACAAACCAGGGTGCACCAGTGATTACACGTTGACATATGTTTTGGAAAGCTTGAATAGTTCTTTTATTTGAATTCTTTGCAGAGCCCCAGATTACGATGCCATACGTCCAGATTGGTTTAAGAAGAGTTTTATATAGGATTATTTTGATAGGTATAGTTAAGTTCGAACGAAGGAGTGGTCTTAAGAGGTGGAGTCTGGAATTAAGCTTTTTTCGCTTATTCTTTAGATGAGGAGACCAAGTTAACCGTCTGTCAAGTATAAGCCCAAGGTATTTAACTTCGGTCGAGTGAGGGATGTCAATGTTGTTCATTGATACAGCTGGACAGCTATGAGGTCGAAGTGTAAAAGTGACAAAGGAAGACTTAGATTCATTGATTTTTATCTTCCAATTGGTGAACCATTGTGAAAGATTATTTAGGTGAGTTTGAATTTGTTGAGATGCAATGGTATGGTCAGAAGAAACTGATAATAAAGCGGTATCATCAGCATATGTTCCAACTATAGTATCTTCAGATGTAGGCAGGTCTGACGTGTATATGGTATATAAGAATGGAGCGATATCACTGCCTTGAGGGACACCAGCAGAGATAGGAAATTGGTTAGAGTGTTGTAAGTTGTGGCGGACATTAAATGAACGATTTTCTAGATATGATTTCAGCATTAGGTATAAAGGGGCAGGAAATATTTTTTTTAGTTTAAAAAGAAGACCTTCGTGCCAGACGGTATCAAATGCTTTAGCAACGTCTAAAAAGACTCCAGCGCAGTATTTTTTGGTTTCGATTGCTGTTGAGATGGTGTCCACTACACGGTGAAGTTGATGGGTTGTGGCATGAAGAGAACGAAAACCAAACTGGAAGTTTGGAATACTGTTGTTCAATTGCGCAATGGTAGTGATGCGCTTGAGGATGACTTTTTCTAATATTTTTCCAAGAACCGGTAGAAGGCTTATAGGCCGGTACGAGGAGGGTTGTTCTGGAGGCTTACCAGGTTTGAGTACAGTGACAATGACTGATGATTTCCAAGTAGTTGGGAAGTAAGATAGGCGAAGGGCAGCATTATAAATATGTGATAGATGAACAATTATTTTCACAGGGAGATTTTTAACAACTTTGTTGGAAATAAGATCGTGGCCTGGAGATTTGTTATTTGCAAGATTTTTATAATTCCTAGTATCTCCGCTGGGGAGGTTGGTTTTGCAGGGAGTGCCATAGGTAAAGTTGATTGAAGAGAATCCATAACTGTCGACATATGTAGTGCTGGTGTTGAAATAAGATGTGGTTTGAATACTCCTGATAATTCATTGGCGAGAATATCCGCTTTTTCTTGGTCTGAGAAAGCAAGTGAGTTGTCTGGGCGGCGAATTGGAGGAGGGGAGTCCTTAATCCGCAATATTGACTTTGTTTTACGCCAGATTGATCCGTTAGAAAAAGAGAGGTTTTGTATATGACTTTTGTACAGATTGGCTTTGTGAGTATTAAGTAGTGATTTTAGTTTATTGGAGAGAAAGTTGTACTTAATTTTATCTGCTGGGTAGTGAGTATGTTGCCATTTAGATCTGGCTCTGCGTTTTTCAGCAATGAGTCGTCTTAATTCTGGTGATAGATTGAGCGTTTGAGAATAGGGTGGATTCTTGGTAGATGAGTCCAAGGCTGCTTTTTGAATATCATCAGTTAGTTTCGCAAT